AAGTTGCGGTCGTGCAGGTAGCGCACAGCCCTCACAACCTGCACAAAGATGTCCCGAGCCTTGGGCACACAGGGCAGCTTTCCCAGGTGCTCCACCAGCTGCAGCAGGGTAGTGTCCATGGCCTCCATCACGATGTAGAGCTTCCTATTGCAGACCTCGATGAGCTCAAAGACGTGCACAATGTTGGGGTGCTGGATCTTGCGCACGATGGAGAGCTCCCGAGGCAGAAACTTGTACACGACGGCTCGGGATGCTCGTGACCGATCCACCACCTTGACGGCTAAGGGGCCCTTGTGTTTGCTGGAGGTGGCTGCTTTCACCTTGGAGAAGCTGCCCTCCCCTAATGTTTGACCCAGCCTATAGCCCAGCTCATTAAGTAGCCTTTCTCCTCCATCGTTTCTTGGCATGATTTGTGATCGCGATGGGCTTGATCAGAGCTCATGTCTTGCTCCAGAATTTGAAAGGTGTGATGTCTGGTGCATGGCAGCTCTCGACCTTCGCCTATGGCAACCACTGGTTCCACGGATGCCTCTGTGGGTTCCACGCCCCTCCCAGGCATTGTGATGGGGTGGAATGTTGTGCAGCAACACCTTTGAGACGTGACATGAGCGTCTGGTTGGTCCCCTCTGCTCATGAGGTGCCCACACACATGTTGGGGGAGAACTCTGCTGGGGATAGATATTTCAGAGTTTTTACTCTTTCAGCCTCTTCACTTGAGTTCTAAACATAGGGCTGTGTGGATGAAGAGAGTTTAATTGTTAGTTTTCTGGGGTGAGGGACCCATCTGGGGACCTGTACCATTTTTCTGCAGGTTATTAGTTACATTAAAATCCAAACTACACAGAGTGGTAAAAAGGAGTGACTTCTACTGGCACTAACTGCAAACTACCTTGGCTGGCTATAAATACTGACTTATTTATGGTGATGGTGCATGGAGCTATTACTAGGTAGACTTTCTGACCTTGTGTGATGTGGACAGGGGAACTTTAAATGCATCTTTCAGAAGAAAGAGCTGTTCAGTCTCTTGAACTTGGAATTTCTCTCCATCTATTTTTATCAAAATTATATTTTTGAGACAGAGAAAAGGAAATTTTAAAAGCTTTTAGTCAGTTTTACTTGCCATAAGGTAGCTGTCAAATTGAACAGAGGGCAGCTGGGCTGGGCTACAACATCCACTCCAGAGAAAAGCATCCCTCCCATCGCACGCTGCATCTCAGACCAGTGTTGAGTCCTTCCTACAGGTGCTGCATCGTTGGTTTTCACAAATAGTTGTTTCTGGTTTGTGCTGGTTTTTTTAAGCTGCTCGAGGATCCTGTCTTTCCTACAGTGCTCATGTCCTTTCCAGCTGTACAAAGAAGCCTAGGACCACAAAACCCCTGTCTTCCTATATACCAACCCAAATGCTATTTTTAATTTTTGAATACGTTTCACTTTTCAAGCGGGTTTTAAAGAAGAATAGTAATCAGCTGAAGATGGAAGAAAATCTTTCTTGTAAGTCCATCTTGTCAGTATTCTGAGGTGACTTGAGGAAATTAAATTAGCTAAAAGCCACAAACACAGGCCTATGTGTGCTGTGGGGGTGCTTTGCTCTGATGCTAAGAGAAAGTAATGTAACCACCATGTCGAGTTTTACCTGCCTAGAAGTTGTGGGTCCAAACCAAACCACTTTCCCACTTCAGAAGCTATTTATACAGGCCAGTTGGGAATATGGGTACTCAACATGCCATGGAAGTGTGGTTGCCAGGCATGTACCACCAGGCATGGACCATCAGGCTCTACCATCAGACATGCCATCAGAAGGCCAGGCAAGCAGCATGTACATTACATGATGGAGGATTTGCTCTTGTGCAGGGGCTACCCTGCTACCCTGCCTGGTAGCATTCCAGGTGAGACTGAACAGGGCTCTGAGGAACCTGATCCAGTTGAAGGTGTCCCTGCTCATGGCAGGAGGGTTGGACTGGAGACTTTTAACTGTCCCTTCCAACCCAAACTATTCAATGACCCTATGCTGGCCTCTGAAGAACACTCTCAGTCCATTCTTATCTCCCTCGAAGAGAGTGCAGGCCCATTTGACAGCAAGGACCTTGCCTGGGGCTGATGTCTTTGTGGAGGTTGAGTGGAGGGAATCCCACAGGCATGCAGAAGTGCAGGACAATTTACCCAGCCAATGTTCCTTTTCTGTTTAGGCCTTCACATAAATGCCCCCAGATTTCTTATTTCCGAAGCGGATCAGAAAGAAGCCATTTCCAGAAGTTCCTGTTCAGAAGCTGTGGTTACTTAAACCCAGAACAATCCCACCTAGCAATCAGTAGGCCAGATGCAGAAAGCTGGATTTTGCTGGATACGCATGATTTCCTGACGTATTTAGCCCTTGAGTCATAACCACAGTGACTTCAGCAGAGGCCTGAGCTGGACTTTTTGGAGGAGCTGGAAACTTCGAGATGGCTAAACATAACCAAACCAACCTGGGCATTTTTACAAGGGAAAATGCTTAGACCAGGTGGCCCTTCCTCACTATCAGAGCACCTCTGGAAAATGCCATTGCATGTTTCAGCGAACAGAAAGATGTGTTTGCAAATGCCTGTAGGGGCTTGGATGATGCTCAGTATGTCTTTTAAAATAGGAATGGGCAGTCACATTAAAGGCATGTTCCTAAAGCTTACAGGTAAATCCTTGCTTGTGGGAAACCCCTTTGAAGCCCCTATAGTAACATAATCAGAAGAGGGAGTGCCCACACTGCCGTGTCAAAACTGAAGTGGCAGCTGCAGACCAGGTTGCAATGGTAAGGAGTAATGTTGTGGACTCTGCACTTCTGGTAATTCTCCATCTGCTTGAGGGAGCAGGTCGCTTTTGGGAAGTTTTCTGCAAGCTTGGCTGAGGTGGGCAGTTTCAGTCTCAGCAAGCCCTTCTCTGAGCCCAGAAAAAGCCTTGTGCAGTGAGATGCAGCTGGAGCATCCTGGCGGCTGAAGGGCTTGAAGGAGACATGAAAGAAAGCCCTGGTTTCACAAGAAGGAAGCAGCTATCGTAGCAAACGCTCCCCCTCCTGTACGCTCCTGGCTGAAGCTCTGTGAGCTGTCTTGGCTGCAAGCATCACTGCTTGCACTGTGCTCCTGCCCCAGAGCTGACAGAATGGCCTGGGACTGATGCAAACAGCTCCAAAGAGAGACAGCAAGAGGCATGGATGAGAGATTTTGGTTTGGTATGGAACTGTCAGGCCGAGGGGGAGGAAAGACAGCTGAGCTCAGCTTTCTGTGCTGTACTTAGATCTCAGAGAAACAGATTTGTGCCTTGTTGGCTGCTGGCTCAACATTTGTTGGTATAAAAGTGCACCAAAAAAATCTCTTTTGCTTTCAGTCCTTGTACCTCAAGCACTGCTAACTGTGATATAAATATTTAGGTCACACCAGTATACTTTAGTAGTGTGCTCAGTACCAACATATACAGGATACTGAGTTTCTGCTCTTTCTAGTGCATTTTTTGCATCAAAGCTGTGTTTGTAGAACTTATTTGTTCCATTGCTCTTGTTAATGAGAGCAATTAGAAGTCAGGCAGCAATTACTGGTAAATGTGGTATGTGAGCAGGAGGAGCTGGTCAGCAGAGGTATAAATCGGAGCTCACTGTCGGGGTTTTCATTAAGGGATGTTTCTGACTCTACTGGCATGGTTGTGCATCAGTCTGGCATGCAGTTAGTCCCTCTGCCAAAGAGGATAGCTGCTGGACCATCCCAGCTGCTGTACCCAGGGAGCTACCTGGTGCCCCAAGAGCAACTCACCTACTACAAACTCAGCATAAGTCTCTGAATAAGTTCATTTGGGTGAGTCCTGCATTGCCCAGGATGGGACTGATCACCAGATGCCACGGTGTGCTGGGCATCTCGCATCAGAACTAGGAGGAGCTCTGAGTTAACCCTCTCTGGGCCCTGGGTGTGTTACAATTACACCATAAGGTTTTCCCTCAAGTTAACTCAGCCTTGCTGAGAAGTTAAAGCAGCTCAAGGTCTCTATCCCTCTGCATGGAGTACAGCTACCTTCAACCAGAGAGGAACACACAAGCCATGAGATGTAACAGAGGAGGGTTTTTTTTCTTTCTGCATCATCCCATAGATTTTTTTTTCACTAAAAACATGCCTGTGCAGTCCCTTTTGGGGGTGCTGCCCTCTTGACGAACCTCAGCAAGGCAGCGCAATCTCAGTGCAATTACTGAGACAGCAGATGAAATGCAGTATGGCCAACGAGGGAGTGAACAAGAGAGCCATTAGATGCTTTGGGAGCTCCTCCCTCTCTTCTGTGAACCCATCACCCCTAAGGTCCTCCGTCCTGTGCCCAATCCCTCGGGGCAGGGTTGTGTGAGTCCCACTGGCATGGGGGGCAGAAGGGCAGAGCAGCCACATGGGCTCAGATGCCTGCCATTGATCTGATGACAGACTGACACCTCTGGGGCAGGGATTTCACATGTGAGCGGACACTGTTGAGCATAATATAGGTCCTGCTGGCACAAGTGTACCAAAATATAACTCCTGTGAATGCAGATGTCCTAGAAGCCAAAACAAAATGTATTTTTATACCTTATGCCATGAGGTTGTAAGTTACAATGTGTAGAACAACCTCTGCACTTGCAAAGAGCCCTTGAGATTTCTTTAAATACCTCTGTTTCCATACAAGCAGAAATATTTTGCCCAAGGGTTGTAATGTTCAAGACTGGTCAACGAATTCCTAAGTGCCCACTTTGTGGCCAGTCTATGACCAGACCTTATTGCTTAGCACCCTGTGAACGTGGGAATGGGCAAACTGCTGCACAAGAAGTAAAAATAATGTTAACATTTTTGCTTGACTAAGTCATTATGGAGAGCACAAAGGGCAACCACAGTTTTCCCCAGCAGATGCTGAAGATACCAAGATCTTTTGGCCAGCAATGGGTAAAGAAAACCTTAAACAAAAGTTTCTATGTTTTATCCTGTAGCTGATTTTATTACCTTTAAAAAATAAGATTGTTTTCCTTTCACAGAGAACGCTGGCCTGAAAAGAAGTGTGCTGCTCACAGCACTATTTTCCATCCATCTGGTTGCTGCAGGTGCATAAGGCTGGTGAAAATTTTGCAGGTGAGAATTACTCTGTAATCCCATGGAGCTATACTACACCCTCTAGGTATCAGGACCAAAGGGAACAAGCCAAGGTGAGGCTAACTTGTAACGGGTACAGCCACTCATCAGCTAGGGCATAGCCAGTAAAGAAAATGACACTTGGCAAGTATTCTCATTTTTCTAGAGATGTTATTTGCCCCTTTCTTGCCAAGAACTCTTCACTGAGCTATTTAAAGGTAATTGATCGCTGGCCTGTGTGATATCTGAGCAGTTGGAAAACAGGGCAGATCCCGTGAAAAGCTGCTGAATCCATGCCACCTCAGGAGCTGAATTGCTGACATTGCCCTAGATCCTTTCCTGCAAAACCAAGATGTCTGTGTGGTTATTTTAGACTGATGTTGAACAGACCTGGGAAGTCAAAGGTATAAACCTAACTGGAAAGCTTTGTCTGTGAGCATTGTGCATGTGTGCAATGGCAGCCTAAATTTGGGGCTTCTGACTGGCAGCAACAGCAGCACAGGCAAGGGAGAAAACCAAAGCTGCAGGTAGTCAGAAAGCTGTGCATGGTAAGGTGTTGCTTTTGCTTTTTCTTTTTTTCCTCTCATGTTCCAGGGATTGGTGTCTGTTTAAAATACTTGGGCTATGTTAAGGTTTTTATCCCTTTGGCAGATAAGGAGATTTGGGACCTCACATTCCTGGTGTTCAGAAGCAGCTGTGATTCCTACAGCTGCTTGCTGTCAGATCTTGCCCTAACCCTCTTTTCAAACAGAATAAACTAGTGAAGCTGGTCGTGGGACTAGTACAAAGTCTCCTAGAAATTCAGCAGGATGAGAGGAACATCATCAAACTCTGTGGATATTCACTTGATTAAACAAGATTGTTCTGACACCAAAGAGAAACCTGAGGCCTCTCTTCATGTAAACAAGAATTTAAACTGTGTGAGGGACATAAACTGGGTTTGTAAGCCATCAGAGGGAATAGTTATGTGGCAATAGGCCATACCACCAACTCTTGGAGCAGCTTGTGAGTGCCTTCTAGGTGCCAAATGAGATGAAAGATGGCAGGGCTAATGAGCTGGTCTGCAAACAGGATTTTGCAGCTGGCATCGTCAGGCTGCACCTGGCAGGAATCACAAACCTGAAGGCAATAAACTAGAGTGGAGTAGGAGACAAAAGGGGCTAAGCAGGCATTGGTAAGTGTGTTTCTGGAGGATTAGGAAGGCTCTTTAAGCAAATTTGTCTTTGAGAAGCTTTGCACCAAAATTCTTATGGAAAGAGGAAGCAAAGTGAGATCATATGTCCCCATCCTTGTGGGAAAGTCATGCCTGGCTTGTCAGAGCTAAGGAAACCCAGCTGTGTAGGGAAGCAAGCTTTACTTTTTGGTGCTGGAATGCCTGCTGAGAGGAGAAGGCATGGCTGGGGAGAGAGGGAAGCAGAGAGGAGGACTTGGTCTCAGAGCTCACCACACCCTTTCCTGGCTGGATGTGTTGATCTCCCTGTGCCTTTGTTCAGATGGCTCCTTCCCACCACCTCCCTTCTGAAAGCTGGGAAGCTATTTCTCCCTTGGCCCGTGCTGCAGACACTTGGCTTGGCCTTCAAGTGGCTGATTCCTGAGTGCTTACCAGGGAGATCCTCCAAACATCCTCCCAAGCCAAAGGGAAGGGCTGAGCAGCACTGACAGGCTGCTGGGTCGAGAGAAGCACTAAGCTTGCTCTTCCTGCCCCTCCTCAAGGCTGGAGAGAAAGTCCAGGGAGCCACTGAGATCCTTCTTGGCGCTGGACAGCTGGTGAAGAGGGTGTGGGTAGGAACCGGGGCTCCATGCTGCACATCTCCTGAAAGCAGGGAATATCTCTTTGCTCTCCTTGTTGCTTCAGCATCCACAAATCTCTTCCTATAGCTGAAAGATTATATGCCTGCCACTGCTGGTGACTTGCTTATCTGTGTTTGTGTGCCTGCTGTCTGTCCCCAGGCAGAGCTAGCTGGTGTTCCATCATGGCTGGCTGTCAAACAGGAGGGAGAGGACTTCAGGTGAGGATTTATGCAAGGCAAAGCTTTCAAAAGCCACAGCAAATGCCTCTTGGAATCGGAAATGGGTGGTGATGAGGGTAGAGAGAAAAGTTGGGAAGTGAGAAGCTTTTCTTACCACATCAAATAATGTCTGTTAAATCCAAATACAATTTAGAAAAGCAGGTAAGCCTTTTGTGGTTAACTATCCCAAATGAACAATACTTAAATTTCTTCCTGGGGAGAGCATTCTGTATTTGGGAAGAAATTTAGCTGTCTGGCACTTGTTGCAATTAATTTGTGGCCAATTAAGGACTGCAGAATTCAGTTTGTAATTAGCATATGACAGCCTACGGTAGACAGGGTTGGAAAGTTGATGGCAAATGTTATAACTGCGAAGCACGTGTTTAAATGCTTTTGAATGGTATGGATGTTACCAGAGGCTGATTTCACGAGGTGCTGTGGAGTCACGTTCTAAAACCTTTTCTGAAGGTGCTCAACCTGAGGTGGCTTCTCCCACAGGTCTGGTTAGCCCTGGGTGAGCCAGTCTTGTACTGAGAGACTGGGAGGACTGGAGTTAGAGGTTAGATGTGCAAACCAAAGAGCTTCAGAGCTGTCAAGTCTGACGAAAAAGTTCAGACTGAGGTTTGGAAGACAGTAAGGACAAATTCTAAAGGTACATTCTAAGTGGCAGGAGGAGGTAATCTTGGACCAGATAGTTGGTGTGTGCATATCAAAGAGGAAGGGAGGCAGGCAGGCACTTTTGGAACAAGGCTGGAGGCAGCTGACAGCGTCTGCAGGTCTGTTTGCGGAACAGACTCCATCTGTTTACTCCATTCTACATCTCCCTGCACAGGCTTTTATGGTATTTGAAGCTGAAACTGCCTGAGAAATCAAGCAAGAAAATAGCCATGACCCTGAGAGGAAAACCACCAAGGCAGACTGAGGCTTATCACATGCAGCTGTGAAGGGATGGGTGGTTTGGGTGGGCAGCGAGTGTGGACCTGCTCGCACCAGTAGCAGCAGCTACTGCTTTACATTTGCTGCTCTGCTTTCCAGCAAATGGAGTTTTTGGTGCTTTCCTGCTTGCATGTTTCTCTAAAAGGGAAATGAATCCATTGAAGGCAGAAGCCAGGTGTTCCCCTCGCTGTGCTGGCAGTGGCTGCAGAGCATGGAGCTGGGCTGGGAGGGAGGGATGGTGTGCCTTCACCCCACTGCTCGGACAGTGGGGTGAAGTATATATAATATCCAAGTATATATCATATCCATATAATAAGCCCTGAAGTATATATAATATCACAGTGCCCAAGACAAGAGTAATACATAATGTCACAGTGCCCTCTTGGGGGCAGGTGTTCCTTGGAAATAGACCTTTATGATTTGTGTGCTGTGGATCTCATTGCTCGCCACTCTTGTTTGTTCCTCATGCTGCCCGGCTAAATCATGGAAATTCCCACTGAACTCTACTCCTCTTTAAGAAGAGTTCAGAGTTTTGGCCTTGCGTTTTTATTTTTCTGTTATTTCTCTGCTGCTGATCTGCACTTTAAAATGACTGGGGTGAGGAGCTCCTGAGTGAAGATGGCAGAAATGAAACCTGTCTTGTTTAAACGCTGTGAGATGAACTCGGCCCCAGCAAGAAACAAATTGTTTTAACAATAGATTTAATTAGCTGGTGTTTGTATTCCTTCACAGTGTGCTCGAGTCCTGGTGCACCTGCTGCTAGACCTGTCTGAAAGCCCTGGCATCGCCTGCCCAGGAGTGTAAAGAATGACTGAAGCGTTAAATAAGGACGTGGGTAAGTGTGGCAATTCCCTGCTGACTGACGAACAGCCTGGAGAGGAGGGGACTGTGGCCAGTCTCTCTTCCCCTCTAGCTTTTGCAGTAGAATCTTTTGTTAAATGTTAAAAAGGAATAAAATATAAACAAAAACACAACTTCAAGTAAATATTTGGGATGATCACAGCTAATATGGCTCTTGATGACCTACTGTTGCCATTAATGCTTTGAATGTAGGATGCTTAAAAGCAAATATTTTTCCTGTACAGGAGCCACTCTGACTCACACAGATTGGCCCCTTCCCTCGGGCACCTAGTGACAGGACAAGGGGAAATGGCCTCAAGTTGCACCAGGGGAGGTTCAGTTTGGATATTAGGAAAAATTTCATCACTGAAAGAGTTGCTGAGCATTGGAACAGGTTCCCCAGGGAAGTGGTGGAGTCACCATCCCTGGAAGTGTTCAAAAACTGAGTAGACGTGGCACCTCAAAATATGGTTTAGTGGGCATGGTTGTTTTCAGTCAAAGGTTGGACTTGATGATCTTGTCTTTTTTGTAATACAGACCTATCATTTCCCTGATTCCTTATGTTTGTGGGGTTATGAAAGAATCTCTGTTTTATGGAAGATATGAAATGACAAGCCTTTGCATTTGTGACAGTTCTTCCCCTATGTACACATACAAGGCTGCATGTGTGGGTTTGGGGGTTGGTTTTCTTCTGTTTTGTTTGGTGGTTTTGTTTTTTTTTTTCCGAACAAATCTAGCTAGAAGCCTGCCTGTGGTGAGGATTCAGTTGAAATAGATGTGCCACCTGGCAGATGAGTCCATGACCCTAAAAGCTGGTTTAGTTGAAAAGCCAGCCTCAAAAATTGATGCTGAGGACTTCCCTACCTTTTTTTTCTATTTCTAGATCTAGTTTACTTTACATCAGAAATAGAATTTTCCTAAATGCCACACCTGAAAACTTGTTCTGGGCCCTACCAGTCAGTCTTTCATGTTGCTGCTTCTCCCCTTCTCTCTTCTCATGTCATTATGTCCCTAAAGATAACACTTTTACAGGGCAGCCCTTGGATAACATCTAGCAATACCAGACAGCACAGTCGGTTGGAAATATGGAGGACTGGCAAAAAAATCATGGTGTGAGGAATGCTTATCCCACTAGGTGCAGTTGGGAAATGCTAGGATAGATCTCCTGTTTTCCTTGATCAGTAACCCTTTGTTAGCTGGGAGCGGGAAGAAAACCTTGTATTTCTGAGCACACCTTGCTTTGTGTGCTGAAGCCTTTTTCCTTGCAAAGGCAACTCTTGGTCTCCCCAGCTCCCTGCTTTCCTTCTAAGCTCTGACAAGGTAGGACACGGAATCTCTTACGTGCTGGCTTCGTTTCCTTGGTTCTTGCTTGGCCTTGGCCTGTATAAAGGCATTGCCTGATTTCATTTTGCTGCTCAGTGGCTCTGTTTTAAGGGTTGTTTGATTGCTACTTACTGGATCTTGCTCTCAGATTGTTTTAAATTCAGCAAGATCTAACTGCGTGGCCTGAGCTGGTTTGTGCCAGGCAGGACTACAGCTGAGTATTTTAGGAAAGTATCTGTATTTTAGGAAAGTATCCTTTTTGTGGACAAGGGAAGAGGAGGAAAAACCTACTATTTGAGAGGCTGTGATAGTCTCGCAGGGCACAGCCTTGGCACATGGACAAATGATAGCTTCTGCCAGGGACATGGCTTAAATCTGCTCAGTTCTGGACAGCCTGAGAGCCCATGAGGAGCAGAGTCCAGCCATGCCCTGTAGGCAGTGGTTCCAGGGTGAGTGAGGCAGGATCTCCTCCTGCAGCCAGTGCCAGGGCACTCAGAGAGCAAAGCAGGGAGGTTGCTGCTGCTCATGCTGTCTCTGCCTCTGGCATGCAGGAGCAGGCTTTGAATTTTAAGCAGAGAAAACTCTCTCTTATGCAACTGTTTTCTCCCCTCACAGTTGGTTTATTTATACAGCTTTCAGAATTTTTATTTTTTTTTTTGAGGAAAGAAGTGGATTCAAACCCCCTTTTACTGTCTCATCAAGCCTGTATCAGCAGGTTGCAAAGGTAGCAAGGTGAGCAGGAGTGCAGTGATGGCATCTCTGGGCTCTTAGGCACTGCTAGAATTCTGGCAGTGGTGGGAATCAGGCACAGTTAGTTTGTCAAGACAGTAAATGTTTTATTCCTCCCAGATATTTGTGTGGCAGGTAGGTGTGATAGAGAGGCATCAGTGAGGCATATCATTAAGGTGATATTGTCTCCTTGCATGCTCTTCTTTTTCCAAGTCTCACTCCAGTGTCCTGAATGCACAGGGGGCACAGAGAAGAAACAAGGTAGGGTTTCATCAGTAGCTGTCAGAAGCAGAAATAAGTGACTTCAAGTCATACAACGTCACTCAATTTGTACCTGCTTGTGCTGACCATACCTCGTATTTACATGGTGCCACCAGAAACTATTCTTAAGTGTTAAAATTTAAATGAACACATGGTCCTGCAGGCTAAATCTGTTACCAGTGATAACATTTCCACTGTAGTTTGTTTTGTAGCACCTCAAGTAAAGCAAGTGATTGGAGTGATTTATTTTCAATCCCAAGGAAAAAAATAGCCTTTGAGCCTTTGTGAGCTCCAGAGGAAAAGCAACCACAGTGCTGGGCAGGCAATATCTGCAGTCAGGGAAGTGACTGATAACAACTTTCTCATCTTATCACTTCCCAGATAGGTTTTTGCTATAGGATGCAGACATGAAAGAGTCTCTAGGGTCCTTCTGCCCTACATGGGAACTGCAGCAACAATCCTGGCACAGCTTGAGAAAATAGTCGGCTCTTAGTCACTGTGTAAGAACTCTGTTGACTGATGAGGTTTGAGGGAGGCACAAGGACCCAGGGTGGTGGGGTGAGAACTGCCTGGGATTTGGACGGGGTAGTATGTGGTGTGAATTACACCCACAGCATGAAGGGTCCCCAGGCACCCCTGTGTTTCATTTCACCCAGGCAAGTGAGAAGTGAATTGTTACCCTATGCACATCTGGGCGTAGCTCGTACTTCTGTGCCATGGCAGGCTGGTTGGTCACAAAGGGAATGTGGCAGTAGCCATTCAGAGACTCTTCAGATCTTGGTCACTTACCAGTTCCTCGAGTGGCTTCCTATTGATATTGCACAGCAGCAATGACAAAATCAGATCACTGCTACAGACAGATTACTTCCCTGTGTGACATACATGTGAGAAGTTGCTTTGGCATCAGCTGAGAAAGCCTCTGAGGGCTAGTGAGCAAGTAGACACCACCTGTGACTAAGGCCTCCCCAAAAGGTGTGGTCAGACTTGGATTATGTGCAACCAGCTTTTCAAAAGGGAAGCACTTGATGATGGCTCTCTTCCCTCCTACTGTCCCTCTTTTTAGGTGTCTTACGTTCCCAGGTGAAACACATCATCCCTCTGTAGATTTTACAGCTCCAGTTTCTGAGGGGGAATATTTGAAGGGGAGTTTCTAGGTCTGAATTACTGATGAAAAAAATACCTGTTTAGGAGATGAGGACTTTTTTTATCTCTTTTCCTAGTAGGAAAATGTTCTTTATACTTATAATGAGGGGAATTTCCCACCTAGCTGCTTTGTTTTCAGCTTGGATGTTCTTTCGTCTCCTTACTGGCAGACACAGCCTCTGGCAAGGGAGAAACTGCTGTTTCTCCAGCCCCTCTGAAGTTCTTCCTCACCTCTCAGAATACCAAACATCTGATAGCTCAGACTTAACTGCAAGATGCCAATCAGGCAGTTTGTCCTTGGGCATGGGAAAAGGCCCTGAATTACGAAATCTTCAGTTATTCTGCAGCCAAAACTTGTGGATTCTCACTGTGGTGACCCCAGTGTGGAAAATGTCCTCCTGGCAGTGGTCAGGAGAGCATAGCAAGCCACTGCTGCTGCTTTCCAGGCAGTGCATTTGCTCTCTGTAGCCCCTCTCCCCAATCTCTTTTAGAAGGATCTGGTTTTTAGGCACTCCTGCTTTATCTTCCTAACTCCAAAAATAGATGTGTCTGTCTAATTATACTTAATGCTTCTGGGTGCATAATTGCAGAAGCCAGGGGAGAGTGCAGTGTTTTGCTTCCTCATCTTTCTTATCCAGGACTTCATTAACGACAGCTGATTGTCCCATCACCATGTCCCCTGCATGCATGATTTACAGTCTCTTTCATCACAAATTGTTCAACTTTTTCCTGCTCCTTTCCAGCTTCCTTGTGTTAACCATGATGATGGTGGCTGGGCTGATGTTCCTGAGGCAGACAAGGGAACAGGAGCAGCATGTCCTGCAGCTCCCTCTCCCGTGCCTGCCCCCTGAGACACATAATGATCTGCATCTGCTACAGCTGGGAGACTTGCTGGGCAAGGCACTGAGTGGGCAGCAATTATACTTGCCCTGGTGCCTGCCTGCACACCTCCTGGAGGCACTCTTACCACAGGGCCATTTCACAAGGCCTCCTTGGAGCTGTGAACCTCCTCTTTTCTTCTTGGATCAACCTCAAAGGGCATTTTACTTCCTTGCTTCCTAGCACAGAACTTGTGTGGGCACACTGGCATTTCCAACCCTCTGCCGTAAGTCTCGGAGGGACCTTTCAGTTCCTCAAATCCTCAGATAAAATATTCTGGGGAAACTCTGCTACATGCTTTCCAGTCTCTGAGATATGTGATGTGATTTTTGGGGTTGTTCCATGCAGAGCCAGGAGTTGGACTCGATGATCCTTGTGCATCCCTTTCAACTCAAGATATTCTGTGAGTCTATGAGGTGGCTACTGTCAGGGACAGGGAAGGGCACTGGAAAGACTGCCTACCCAGCCTGGCTATTCTTGCATGCATCTTGTGCTGAAGAAAAAAAAAATTAGCTGCTGGGTGTTGTCATGGTGTTGCCTCCTGCCTCCTGTTTCACTTTGCTCTGCGTGGGCAGATGTCACCTGTTTTCTTTCTAAGGTGACTGTCAGCAGTGCTGTGAGTCTCAGCTAATGCAGGAGACCCTAACGAGTGACACCTGA